GTATGTTTATTTGTTCGCTCAATACGTAAAAACTACTGCACAGATCAAATACAGATTTTATATGTATATTTTTAGAAACTTAATTCATAAATTAAGGTTAATTTAAATTTGATAGATATTATACAAGCCAAGTTATATGCGAAATTATCTTATCTAGAAACTGTAACCGAATATAGAAAATTATTTTTTAAAGTTTAATATCGATATTTGTGACTTTCAATTAGATCATACTCTCATATTATTAGACCTTTAAATATTAAAACGAGAGCTGAGCCAGGATCGAAATTGTGGTGTACCCAGCATCAATCGATAAAAGATATATTCATCCTGTCTGCACAGGCATAACTGCGGGCGAAAGCTAGTGACAAATTGTGATATAAAACATTTTAATAAGACAAGAGAAACACGTTTCATAAATATTCTTCATGTTCTAACATGAACCATAACATAAATAGAGTTACAAAAAATGTATTTTCTCTTCTTCCGAAGAATTCCCAAAATAGACAGACAAGCCTGTATCTAAGGGAACATCCATTCATTACATGACGCGATTTGGACGATTTTTCGACCCTCAGGTGAGATCTGACTTGAGCCCTCTCCCTTAATCTCACGTGAGATTTTTTAATTTTGCATATTTATAAATAGTATAAACAATCAAGCAATTTAATCTGCGCTTGATTGCTTTGAATATATTACAAAAAAAATATTTGCATAATTTTTATTAGTGAGCGACACTGGTACCAAAATGTCCATGTGATTTTCAGTAAAATCATCTGCTCCTTCAGCCTCGCTGATTTAGCCCCTCTAAGCCGTTATCGCTTGCATACAAAAAAAAAATAAGTAGCTCGACAAATATTATTGTGTAGGATTTACTCACATTTTAGTGAAAAAACATGTTTAGTTTAACTCATTTTTCCAGTAATTTCATATATTTTTCTTGTGAAAAAAAAATTACATGATATTTGGATAGACGCCCTCTCTCCCTTAGCGCCTCATGGTCGCCTCCTAATTGTAATAAAATAAATATTTACATTTTCTGTATTAATTTTCTTTCAGGACAACATTCCAATATACTGTCACGTGCTAAACCTAAAAGCGTACTAAAAGCCGACGTAGGTACAAGCACTCGTATAAATAGTTGACGGCGGCCCGAACGAGTCGCGCTACTCAAAAAGTTTCCTCTCTCGGCGTCATTAAAGTCAACATCAGTCAAGTTATTAGTTCAAATTCGTGGCTAAGGTTGCCTTTGCGGCCGTAGTATGAAAGTATTTGCGGGACGCGCGATGCCGCTCACGTGCGCCGCACCCTCCCGGAATTACTTACGCTATACTCCTTCCGATGTAGACAGACCCGCGAAACGTAGTCTCTATTCTTTCGTCTTCTTTTTTTTTTGTTTATTTTATATTTGTTTATTTATTGACGGAAAAGCATACAGTCGTAACATTAGTAACAATCACATAAAATACAAATGATTCTTAAAGTTTTATTTGGTTTGATTTTGATATGATTGTATAGATGTTAAATATTTAATAAGGTAAAACTCGTTAATCCGTTTACTAGAATAAATTAAATGTTGTTTTTAACTTTACTTTACATTCGTTTTATTAGGAGGCGTATTTTAAAACAGAACTCTTAAATGAATATTAAAAATCCCAACGTGAAAAACATGGTAATTCCCTTTGAGTATTGTTTAAAGTTTCAAAATAAAATTGCGAAAAAAAAAATAGTGCGTGTAGTCCCTCCGCGCCGGAAGAAGTGAAACCTCGTAATGTGGAAATGAAAATAGGAAAGGGTAGAAATTGCGTTTTTCGTCGCACGTTACAATTGCGAAAAACAATTGCGAGACGAAATCTACCGACTCACTCTCTTTCTCTCGCCTGCTCCTTTGTGTATCTTTCTTTCTCTCTCCCTCTTGTGTTGGAATATCGGACGCTACTCGTTGCTAACGCTCGCGTTGGCCTGTAATAGGTATACTACGCGCATGCGTTCGAGTGCCACGCATTCACTCTCGCTCTGTCTCTTTCTATTCCCCCTTTCCAGGAGCGTTGAACATTTAACGCAACAGTGATTTCATACCCTCTCCATGGTAGCGTTAAACGTTTAACACAACCTAGTTGAAAGTCGCATTAGAAGTTTCACTTCAAAAAAAACTAATTATTTTCTTAAATCTTAACACTTCATTTTATTACTCCTGTAATCAATATCAAAATTATGTAACGAAAAATTTAAAAGTCTCAAGTGATTCTTAAATACTAACGTTCGAAAATTAGGAAAAAATTGATACACAGATAATCCTTTAATTTTTAATAAACTTTTGAGATAATTAAAAATTTGAAATTCGCTTATAGTGTAGTTTTTTGTGAGATTTGATTTGATTTGATTAGGCATTGATATTATCTCATTCCAATAAGTCTTTTTTAGTAGTCGTGACAGCAGAACCAAAGATAAAACAGAACCAAAAATAACAATAGACGTTTATTTATGAATACACTAAAGCCAGATTAAGAAGGTGGAAAATAATTAAATCACGGAAGCGCATAATACACTCTTATATAGCAGAAGAGGATTAATAAAATTTGCACTCTGCTTGAAGATGCAGAAGGTGGAACCCAAGGCTCATAAATGCTATTCGAAGGTTTTATCGCTGAGCTACAAGCCTCAATAATGAAGTTGTCTTATTATTGGTTCACTTAACGAAATATGTTACCGACTGGAAGAAATAACGCATCGCTTTTCATTTTGATGATATCGGAACGGTTTCAGTGATGATTTTATTAAATTTTAAGTATCACGGGGGCTCAGTGGTATAAAGCTCGCTTCGCATGTGAGAGGCGTTCGATTCCCAGCATCTACAGAATCGACTTTTTAAAGCGAAATATTTTGATTAGCCCTTAAAAAACCCGCCTATTTGCATTACAAAGATAAATAATGTCATCCATTTTATTAGAAAGGCTAAATTTATAGATTCATCGAACATGTTTAGGACATCATTCAGATGAACCATATTACGTGACCCGTTCACAGGCGGGGGGGAGGAATCTTTAACATACCACGCTTGGTCACAGCACGGGGGGAGCTTAAGGCTTTCACATGTAATTAGAGAATTTTCAGGCTTTTACGGAGACATATTCAAATTATGGCGCGTAACGTTCAGCACTTTTTTAAATTCACATGTGGCAACACTTACGCAAATATGACGCCAGCTGATTTAAAACTGATAGTTTTTGTAGTCATTCAGATGTGGTGCGTTTATATAGTATTCTATTTGTAGTAATACTATGTTACAATATGTTTTTACATAAGTTTTTTCTCTTTGATTATATTATATATCTGTTAGCAAAAAAAATGAAATAAAATCATATATGAATTACTACATGAAAACTACGGGAAGGGTCATAATATATACTACGGTTAGTTACGGGGGGAGAGAGGGGTAAAAAATTGCAAAATATGGGTCACGTAGTATGGGTATGTTCCCCAATTATGTTTTTTATGCTGGTGCTTACCATCGCACGCACCTTTCCCACTGCGCTAGCACCTTATTTAACCTTCTAAAATATATGTCAGATATTGACATGAAATCCGATCATGATAGCTGGACTTAGTGAGCGTGATTATCGAAGTCATTTTTTTCGAAGCGAGCGATTATTTTCAAAAATATTCACGAAATCAGAAAAATTGCTTAAAACCTTAAAATATTTTTAAAAGAACTGTCGAAATATGTGACACACGTTAATGTTTGCTGAAAAAAAAAATGTTTCAGTTTATTTTACATGTATGGAATGTTCCTCTATATATACATATTTTTAATTTGACTACTAGTTTAAATAGCAGCTTATACAAAACACGTATACTCCAAATTTGATCAACATACATCTTTTAGTTTTTGAGTAAAATGCCTGTGACATACGGACGGATGGACGGACGGACACGACGTAACTATAAGAATTCTGTTTTTGCTATTGGCTACCCAACTCTAAAAAGTTATAAAATTAGCGTTAGCGCAAAAAATATATAATTAACATTCCAACTCTTCCGTTTAACGGTTGTTCGGGCTAAAATCCGTTAAAATGACATTGAAGGCAAATTTTATTTTAAAATTGACTCTCTATTAAATGTCAGTTTAAAAGGATATTGTGGAAGAGACTTCTAAAGAGAGATTTATAAAGGATATTTCTGTTTATAATCGCTAATTAAAATATAATTTCAACCTTCATGAACATGAATATTCACAAAAATATTCTGAATCTAATTAAAATTCAGAAAAATAACTGAATGCATATTAATTTATTTATTTGAATGAACCTTTTCTTCGTCTATCTAAATTTTAATGTTAATACCTACCAGTTTATTAAAAAATTGTTATAATAACAGTAACTATTCTACATACAGTTTAGTAAAAATTTTTGTCTTTATTTGTTTCAACTTTATATGTTCCCTGGTCCAACGTCTCTCTTACAATTTGCGAACAAACATAATAAAGTATCGATATAATACATATCAATTGCATTGTTTTTAGCATTAATGCTTTCACCTAAATGCTTAACTTACCTTTACCTGCGTCCCCAAACATACTTTGCTTTTGACTCTGGAAAAAGTGTGAACGAAAGGTAAGCTTTGCTTTACCAAAATCTAATTAAACTTTGACCTTACTACATCGAACCGAGCGTACTCAAAGTTCTCGCTGTGAGCCCTAACACCGCGCCCCTACTCTTCATTTCCGCACATTAGAGATTCTTGGCACGAGCGATTTGATGTTCAATGTACATCGCTCGCATTGTATGCGATATTTATATTAAAAAGTTATCAAGAACAGCAATGAATTTATTTAGATCTTATTCAATGAATAGTATATTTAACTAATGTCCACTAATATTAGAAAATTGTGGAGCTGTAACCGAGTCGTTTATTAGAAAAATTAAACGTATTTTAAAATATTCCTATTTTATAGTATAAAACGTGGTTCCAACAATATAGTATAACAAAGCAAAAAAAAACTTTAAAGATGCTGGGAATCGAATCCAAGACTTCTCGCGTACAAAGCGAGCGCACTACCACTGCACCACAACCCCTGTCAAATACGGTGAATGGATTATAATGAATTCTTATTTGACGTAGTCTAATACAGTTCAGTTACACGTACAAACACAAAATGGCAAAATACTTAAAATAACATATTCCCCTAAATAATTTACACATTAAACAGCAAGTATTTATAACATTTATAAGAGTATTATAGCTTTGTATGAGCCAATAGAAACCTTCTCGGTTTTTAAATCAACTATTTAAGATTGGGGGATGTCGGTGATCAAATCCACGACCTCCCAAGTACTGAGCGAACGTTCTACCATTGAGTCCTTATATATAAGACATTATATTATGGCTCTTTTAAACTTTGACTTCTAGTTTTACTGTCGTTATAGCTCTATCTCTCCTTCACTTCTAGTACTAACCCCACTCGCTACATAAAAATTAAGTACTTTATTTACTAATATTATTAACGTTAGTACATTCTAAATGTTCATTTTAATTTTATTTTCAGTTCAATTTTAACGTTTTCATCACCTTTACCTCCCGTTCTTGCGTGAATTTGAAAAGCTAAATCTGAACATAGAATTCTTATTAATATTGTCAAAACACTATAATATTGTATAAAACTATAAAAACACTTATTACTTTATTTAAATTATTAAGATACTAGTATTTAAATAGCGACTCAGCACCCGTCTATCCTTCATACTCCGCCCTCATCTGTCTGTAAAGCGCTAAATCTAGATCAATTTCATACAGATTAAACTTGTCGTTAAGAAACTGTATTCCAAATTGAATACATTCAATAAAATAGTTTCTACAAATAAAAAGTTTGAGCACTCATTGATTGACTTCAAAAAGTTAAGGCCATTTGAATCTGAGCTTTCAAATATAGAAATTACGTAGGGCACGCTAAAAAATCTGCACACCTGCCGGGTCATAAATATTTAATACCGAATTATTATATTAAATTACAATTATAAATTTGTCGTTCGTAATTAGAAAAAAAAAGGTACCTTAATAAGGTCACTGACAAATCCATCCTTCTGTCTGTCACAGGTATTTATTTAGGAAAGTAGTATATAAAAAGAATTCTTGATATAGAATTTTCACTTTCTGGTAAACAAGAGAAAACTCCGGAAATTTAAAGGTCTTGAAAAACATGCGCTTTTGTCGACGGCCTGATGAGCTTGCATATTAACTAAACGCCACTGAAAAATTCTCTATGGGAATTTATTTTATTTATTTTTTTTTTTTATTTAATTTATTTTTATTTACATTTACCATCCTTTGTACAAAATGAAAGAAACGCCTGGTCAGTTATGTTAATGATTGTTTTAATGCGTGAGCAAAATTAGATGAATTATAAGGATATTACTCAATGACTAAAAAATATTAAATAAAATATTTTTTGCAAATATATGAAAATGAAAATCTGTTTTGAAAAGGTATTAAAATTTTTAATTATTTTCGGTGCCGGTGCCAGGTAAACCCAGAAAATAGAAAAAAGATATAAGAATTTATGAAGATAAATACAAAACGTTATGCATTGAGTAGTAAGAACATATAATGATGAAAACCAAAACATATAGCATATTTTTAGGTGAATAGAAAATTGAATTAAAAAATACGAATACAAAACATCATTTTCTTTCTCAGAATTTTTAATGTATAAGAACAGTTCAAAGTTTCCATTTTGTTGTTCCATCATACTTTTATTGATTTTATAATTGTTTTAAAAATATCAGTGTAAGCTTCTTTCCTGCATTCACCTTCACTTTTATGATCACTTTGACGATTTTTTTTTTCATCACTTCATACTTAGCAAATTTCGAATAATCCCTGATGACACTGTTGCGAAAAAAAGGTTTTAAAGAATCATGAAATATTCAAAAATTCAGATTGTAGCGAGATATAAATCAATGTATCGCCGAGTTTTATGCGGCTATACGAGCAAAGTGTGTCCCCCGCGTACCATTGTCGTATCGGATCATAGCGCGTCAAAGGAACATGGAAAAGGCTATCGATAAATAGTAATTTTTTTTGTGTTTGTTTTTTTTTTTGTTTAAACACCCCACGGCGCTCTCACAGAGTCATATCCAGGAGGGTCATCATTGGAATCATGATCCCCTGGCCCGAGTCAATTGTCCCGTTAATCGTTGTCTTAACAATCGAATTAGAGCCTGTCCTGAAACATTGCCCTCGAATTGGAATCGCATTCGAATCTCGACTACGGAGAGAATTGCAACAATAATATTTTTGTAAGTCGATTTAGTCTACCTTGTATCATGAAGTGTAAGTTAAGCCGTCGGTCCTGAAAATTGATATGAAATTAATGACAACGTTATTAACAGCTCCCAACACGCACTATGTACCAACTACGAATCTTTTTCGTGTGACAATTTATACCACCCTTCCTCATACCACCACCGTATGTACGTCACAGCCATCCACCCGTCCGTATGTATGTCACAGGTATTTCATTCAAAAACTACAAGACGAATTTTGATGAAATTTATAGTGTAGGTATCTTGTATAAGCCGCTACTTAATTTGGTTGTTAAATAACAAAAATAAATATTTCTAGGTGGGGCACTCCATACATGTAACAGAGATTGAAAAAAATCTTTTTCAGCAAACATCAACGTGTGGTACATATTTCGACAGTTCTTTTAAAAACACTAAGGTTATTAAGCAATTTTTCTGATTATGTGAATAATTTCCGAAATAATAACTCCGAAAAATGCTGAAATTGTATCCACCTTTCTATTTTCTAATCTTCATGTTCAAAAATATGTAAAAAATAACGAAAGTAATGCTTAATAAATACTTAAAACGAAAATTATTTTGAACATGGTCGGATATACTGTTTTTCAGTTATTGCCTAAAAACTGCGCTTCTCAACAAAAGGACGTGAGTGCCATGGAAGCTACGCTTTTTTGCTGATGCGCCTTAGTTTACACTAGTTTCATAGTAATCGTCGACATATCTACTTTTTTTCTAGTTATAGGCAACTAAAGTGTAACATGGAAAAAATGTAACAACGTAGATTTCATCTGTAGTGCATTTCAACGAGCTAAATGCGAACTGAACCCGCGCACTAAAGGTTCCGAACTAAGAAATCTTTTTATATATTTTTTGTGCTTACTAGTGAGAGTATACCTCATTAATATTAGTACAGGAAAGGACGAATACTATCCCCTAATTGTAATTCTGGGAAACGCAAGCATAACTAGATTTAGCTCATGTAGCGCCATCCAGTGATGGATATGAAAACTTAGTGTAGATATTGTTTTACTAGTAGATATTTGATAAGCAATGTCACAATATATATTCGATATTTTTGTATATCTATGGGAGCGTTACTTCGTTTTACTGAATTTTTTCACTCCTAAAAAAATTAAAAATTCAAAATGAACATACAACGATAAAATGAGATCAATAGAGCTTCTTCCACCATCTCCTTTTAAATTGACTTTTATAAATTCACTTTTAAAATCAATTTGTCGTGCCACATCTTTTAACGGTTTTTGCCCCTAACAACCGCTAAAAAGAGGACGTGCAATGCAAATTTTATTTTAAAAGTGATTTTTGCAAAAAGCCTGTTTAAAAAAAGATGGTGGAAGAAGTTCTCACAAATATTTATTCCCGATGTTTCTAGAGATATGTCAAAGTGCGTTTGACAGCTACAGTTTTCCTGTAAAGTATGAATGAAACTGTATTTCTTTGAATTATATCAAATTCTTCGGAATGAAAATTTTTAAAATGGAATGGAAAATGGTCGACTTATAAAAAGTTTTCTAAATTTGCAAATTTATAAGTTCTAAATATTCAAAATTATATTTTTTTGTACATTACAAAAAATATGTTTAAGAGTGTGCTAATCTTTTGTATGATACCCCACACCGTTTGTATACATGTAAATGATTTGGCTGTCTTAGCTCCTTATAATTAACTGTTTTTTATTATTCTTGGGAAATCAATATCTGTGTGGTATGTGAGACCTTTTAAAAATTCCAGTTTTTTTTTCCTTTGTTAGGTACCGAACCTAAAAAACGGTGGATGCAACCAACTTGCTATTCTTAACTGTCAATAAGCAAAGAATACGAAAGAGGTGAGCTCGTGAAAGCCCTTAAACCTACAACAAAAGCATCAACGCAAGTAAATAAGCCATTTCCATATTTTGGTAGCATTTACAAAAAGCGGCATGTCACATCTGCGTAGATTGGTTACGTATGACGACGCGCTGAATATCTGAACATCACCGCAAATGTTGCCCTACCCGCATTTTTGTCGTAATTCGCCTTTATTGTTACCCTCAAACAAATATCGAACAGTTTGTTGTCTTAGAGCACCGTATTGTGTTTTTACACTGGTCACACTATTGAAAAACATTATTCTAAATCTACTATCTGTGACAATGTTGTAATGAAATACATTTTCATGAAGTTAATAATAAATCAAAAACTAAAATATTTACAAAAAATATATCGTAAGCACAGTGATACTTTTTCGTTATAGTTGAAGTAAAATTATAGCAACACTTCAACATACGTCAAATAATAATTTTAAAATATTTTAGATCTACCACTCATTTGTTGAAAGCAACGTAAAATAATGCTAGTCGACAGTCAACTATATACACGTATTGTATTAAAATTATAATTACAACGGATTTAAAAATAGGCTTAAAATTTTCATTGGCTGCCAAAAGAAAAATTGAATGGTATATCTTTACAATGATTTTTAAAAACTTCCTAGTTAGTTCAAAAATATCTATGTTATCTAAACTTTTAATTAATTTTTAAATAAATAAATTAGGCTTAGCATCAATCTAGCGTACGAAAAATGTAAAAGTAAGAAAAAAATTTGGTGGTATGTCGTTTCATCGAGAGACAGCTGAACTTGTTACTTATAACGAACAAAAAAATTTTTGGAGATGCTGGGGATCGAACCCAGGGCCTCTCACATGCAAAGCGAGCGCTCTACCACTGAGCTACATCCCCAATAGACCTTGAGCGATGAAATAAGTGTCTGATACT